AGGGACGATTGTCGAGAAAATATCGACAATCCGCTGATAGGATTATTGGGTGGCGTACCTCACACGATACGGGGCTCGCTTTGGGGCCACGAAATGAAGCTGACTGTCACACATAGATCCCCGTTTTGTACAGCTTGCTCGACCCCTTTGATCAAGGAGTATCGACATCGTGGTTTTGCTTTCGTGCTTGACGCTTGCAATATCCCAAATTATCTCGAGAAATTATCAGGACTCGAGGAAATACTGAAAAGACCAGATCTGGATGAGGTATATAATGATATGCATAAACAGTCAAGTGCGTCTAAAGTATTACAAAAAAATATTTACAAAAATTGGAACGTTATGTCTGTGTTTATATAGATTAGCTTCAAAATTTTTTTTACTTTGATAAATAAAAATTAAAAATTTTTATTGCTTTACGTAGTACATTTGCATTTGTATTTAGTATTACATTACGTATGTATTTTTCAATTTTCAGTTATGTTATACAATGGATAGTTCGAGCGAAGATGAATCATGAAAAAGAAGCCATGATAAATGATACAGTCAAAATAATAAAATGCGTACAAAAGAAAATGTATAATATGAATCTCACATATAAGTTAATTGCACAGTTTTTATATAAATATACATATACAGGATGATTCAGACCACCCGGAGATGCCGGTACGTACGTATTCCTCATGAAAAACTGAGTCGAAAATGTTAATAGCAAAATGTTGTGGGGTCAACAGTTTTTAAATAGTGAGCCTTTGAAATCTTCCAATCACAGGACGTGAAGTTCGCGCCGTCAGGTGCGACTGATGTTTGTCGACTGATGTTTTTAATATTATTTATTTAAATAATTTAATATTGATTTTATTCATTAAATTTTTATTATTTAAAATGTTTGAAAAATACTTTTTTATTGATATAAATGATGTTTGCTGATAATCGAATTTGCAATTGCGACATTATTTTTCGTCAATTAAATTAGACTCAATTTAAACATACAGCAGTAAATGTTAATAAAGATTTCAAAACTTTTGCAATACTCATTCGGCATCGTGTGGTTTAGCGGTATCCATCAAAGCGCTCTCGCGGCTGATGCTTGGTTGCGCTGCACCTGACGGCGCGAACTTCACGTCCTGTGATTGGAAGATTTCAAAGGCTCACTATTTAAAAACTGTTGACCCCACAACATTTTGCTATTAACATTTTCGACTCAGTTTTTCATGAGGAATACGTACCGGCATCTCCGGGTGGTCTGAATCACCCTGTATATGTATATGTATAAAACACACACATTTTATGAAGAATGCCATTTTGAAAAAGAGCACATTTAAACTAATCAAAGTTATAGTGTATTGAATCAAAACTTTTAGCAAAGATTGTTATAAGAGAGGTATATGTATATGAGAGATATATATGTGATGAAAGTCTTTGTGCTTCTTCAAGTTTGCATAATTGTCCATGTTGCACATTTTACTTAAAATCAACGCATTGTGTATTATCTGTGATGTATGATTTTATCATTATCATAAAAATTTAAATTTATCTAATGTTAAATAAATTATAAGCAATAACATTTTTTTGTTCTTAATACATTGTAACTCCTTATTGTCTGTATAATTACTTCTAGTTTTTATCTTACAATTATCAAAATATATACAAGATCTATATTTCAATTAATATAAGACATAAATAAAAAACTACAATTCTTATATTATCATGCTGTAATTATTAGAAAATAATTAATATATTTTCCACCATGTTCAAATATCTATGTTATTTTGTAAAACACTTAAGGAGGTTCTCGCGTTTGATGAAATATAAGACAAATCTATAATATACATGTAATGCAAAAGTTAATAATATCAATAATATTTAAAAAAAATTTCATTGACTTTTTTACCGTACCATTTTGGAGATATTTAATTCTAAATTTATAGAATTTTATATTACAAGTTGAAAGTATAACCTTATTCTGTAGTTATTCTCTTTTAAATTGAGACACTTGCGTATAAGACAACAATTTAAAAATCATTATAATTATAAAGTAAACACTTAAGTTTGTTCTCATAAAGTTTCATTTAAACTGACTGTACAGTTTACAAGAAATTTATATTCTTCAATGAAAAAAGCTAGAATATACCACCTTGATCAAAAAGTTCCCGGAATTCATTCAGAAAATTCAAAATACAAGTTTATTCATCAAAAGTGATATTGTCCCCTTCAAAGTACTCCCCATCGACTGCAACGCACTTATGCCAGCGCTTGATCCAGCTCTTGAAACATTTCTGGAACTCTATTGTGGGTATAGCCATCAGAGCCGTCTTCGATTTTTCCATTACCTCCTTTCGGCTGTTAAAACACGTTCCCTGTAGTGATTTTTTGACTCGATCGAACAGAAAAAAATCACAGGGAACCATATCGGGTGAATTCGATGGCTGTTGGATGGTATTCGTTTCGTTCTTGGTCAAAAATTCACGGATAATGATGGCACTGTGCGACTGTGCGTTATCATGGTGCAAAATCCACGAGTTGTTTGCCCACAAATCCTTTCTTTTTTGACGAATTGCTTCACGCAAACGTCTCATAACGTTCAAATAATACTCCTTATTAACTGTCTGACCTTCTGGCAAAAATTCGTGATGTACAATACCGTTGTAATCCATGAAAACCGTGAGCATCACTTTCTTTTTCGACTGAAAACGACG